GGCCGCAGGGGTGGGGAGAAGGTGCTGAGGGTTAAAGGCTTAGCGATAACATGGCTGAATTCAAAGAACAGCTCCAGAGGGCTCCTTCCCCACTTAACCTGCGGAGGGAAGTGGCCCAAGCCGGGGGGATACTTCCCAAAGCGTCACTGAGCTTTGCCTGGAAGCAGCTGAAATGTGGGAAGCCTCTTCATGGGGTCCTTTGGAAACAGAGCCATGGGATCAAGCGGGTTGGAAAAGGCCTTTTGGCTCCCTCCGTCCAGCCGTTCCTGGCGCTGCCAAGGCCACCACTACCCCCTGGCACCGGGTTACCCGGGGGGTGAAGGCTTCGGGGACAGTGACCCCAGCACCTCAGTGTCGGTTTGAGCTGCTGCCAGGTTAACAGTGCCAGGAGTGTTTGTGGGGTCAGGTACTGGAATAGGCGCAGCGTGGGCTCCTGTGCCCTCGTGAGCGGACGGAGACGCGCTGACCCCGTGTTTCATCAACAGGCAGAAGAGAACCTGCGAGATGGCAACTGCTCAGAAGCAAAGGAGCTGCGCGGTACGATTCCCACGTGTGTTTCAGCACAGGGTGTTACTTGAAGTGGAAAAGTCAGTGAATCGCAGCTGAAATGGTGCCCCCGGGTGCTCTGTAAAGCGGCCTCACTTGAAAATTACAGCTTCATTGCAGCTTCTTACCAGGAGCAAAGATAGAATAGCAGAAGAGTTCGAGTCTGAACTTTGTGCACTTGGTAGAAATCAGCTGTGACCTGAATAGAGCAAGTGCTAGGCATATGCTTACCTTTATACATGGGAAAAGTGATACTTTTCCATTCGATTCAAAGGCTAAGCCAGCACTGGACCAGATTGCAGCCTGTCGGGGTTGGATTAACTTGCTTTGTTCTCTTTCAGAGTGCGGTTGTATTCCCTACCAAAATATCCACTGAGCAGCAGTCCCTGATGCTGGTGAAGAGGCTCCTGGCGGTAGCAGTGTCCTGCATTACATACCTGAGAGGAATCTTTCCTGAAAGTGCCTATAGAACAAGATACATGGATGGTAACAGGCTGGTTTCATGCTGCTTTGCAAAAGCTATTGTCAAAGGGTTGGTAAGAAGTTACCGAGTGCTTTTAAAGCCACTCGGTCTTAATGCAATGGCCATTTGCAGTGACTGGGATGGAAACTTCTCTAAGACATGAATAGCTGCTAGTGGTGATGCTGACTCAGCAATTAAAACTATGCCTACACCTATTGGTAGTGCTGCTTGGAGGCTGCTTTTGCTAGATGCTTTTTGGGAATGATCTTTACTTTGTTAGCAATGTAGTTCCATTTTGTCCTGAGTAACTCTGCATGGATTCATTCTGCTTCTTTGGAGATGTCTGTGTCAAAATCCTGAGGGAAGACAAGAACTGTCCTGGCTCCACGCAGCTGGTGAAATGGTATGTTGATTTCTGTGCATCGGGAACGCTCCCAGAGCGTGGCAGCTCTGAAAGGAACCTTTGTGGCTGGTTGCAGGGCGCGAGGTTGCCTTGCTGTGGGTGAACAGCAGCGCAGGCAGCGCTTTTAGGGCAGGGTTGGCAATATTTGAGATGGCAAGTCCATCTTTAGTGGGGCTGGGGCCATTTTAGTTGGAAGCAAAGTAGATGGAGGCGAGATGGACAATGTCATTTGGTTTTTGCAGGATGTTAGGATGCTACGATGCCTTGCAGAAGAAATACGTAAGTCTTTCTATCATTTAGCTGTTTAAAATGCATTAAAGCATTCACTTATCTAAATCCATTAGCTGCAGTGTAGTTACAGGGCTTTCTGGTGAGGGAATAGCTGTGCTTTAATGTGTTAAAACAGCAGCAGTGTGGTTGCATCCCCATCTGGGGACCATATTCTTTGTGAGCAAACACTTCATGTCAGGGCTACATGGGCATTTTCTTCTGCCAGTGGATAAGTCCTTCCTGAAACAGATGAGGAGTTGAGCATATGAAGAGGTTTCCCTTCAAACAGGCCTCAGTTGTCTGTATTGGTTTGCAGAGCTAGAGAACCAGAACAACTTAGCAAGCAGCAGTGAGCTATGGGATGCATTTAATGGTCTTTTTCTTATGTTTCCAACAGCTCAGAATGATTGTCCTGGCAGTGAGTATCTCTGAAAACAGGTACATGCTTGGGTAAGGTAGATGCTTGGAGAGGTGTGAAATTCTGACTCTGCTTTTTCTCTTTACTTCAAAAATACAGGTCTATACCCATCCAGAAGATCCTCAGGTAAATCTGCTGGAATATTTTACTGGATATAGTATGGACAGAGTGAAACGTGTATACAGGCAGTAGGACTTACCACTGATAGAATGTGTATACAAGCAGTAGTACTTACGAGGCGTATACAAGCAGTAGTACTTACCATTCCCGTGACTTGGGATCAATATTTTGTCCTAAACACTTAAGCTGATGTTTCCTGGTATTTTCTCCTGGCGATTCCTGGGAAATGTAGACATTCCTGGGAAGTGCAGCCCCCGTTGGTGTGGTGGCAGCTGCACACACTGGAGCTGGGAGTAGAGCTGGCCGGGGCGGGAGCGGGGCTGTGGCTGGTGAAGCCCCGTTAGCGGTTACCAGCTCACCTCAGAGCTGGTGGCTCAGTAACCCCTGCCTTTGCCTGCAGACAATCACAGAGTGTTACCACTTCAAGTTCAAGTACACCCACAAGGGGCCCCTCCTGGACTTCAGCAGGTAACTGCCACCGGCACCTTCTGCTCTGTGCTTCCGCACCTGAACCTAAAACCTGGAGTTGCTCTTTGCTCTTTCCTTTCCTCACGCTGGCTCTCACGACTCGTTGTGTCACCACAGGCTGTCAGCTTACACTTCAAATGCAGGGCAGCATTTTGGCAGGTGATGTTTTTCAGCATCTGCTCAAAAGATGATTCTTGGTGTCAGAGTCCGACACTGAGCAGGTTCTTTAAGATACTTCAAGTGTGGAGGGTGGAATGTTCAGCACTGGAATGTGTTCTCTTAGCAGTACCCATCCTTGTCAGGGTCAATAGTGCTACTTAGGGGAAAGCAAGGATGTGAGACTTCGTAGAATTGGGGCTTTCTAAAGTTCCTCCTTTCCTCCTGGGTGTTGTTCAAGCACTGTGTAATGTACAATAGGGCAGTTGGTCACAGATGCTGAACCATAATGCTTTCAGGATGCCCCTGCCTCAGGCTTGGATCTCCAGAGACCAGAGGCATAGGTCACCTAGTATCAGGAGTTGCAATGCCTGTAATCTCAGCCCTTGGGCAATACATATGATGTCTGCTTCTGACACTCACAGTCTGTTACTCGTGTATCTTAAGGTTGGAAACAGCCTGATATATTAAACCCTGAATGCCTTGTTCATTTGTAGTAAGGACATAAGGAATAACTCCACCATCACCTGTGCAGACACCAAGAAAGCCAGCATCCTCCTCATCCGCAAGATCTACGTTCTGATGCAGAACCTGAGCCCCTTACCAAATGATGTTTGCCTGACCATGAAGCTGTTCTACTACGATGAAGGTGATGTTTCCATCTTACCCTGCTTCCTCAGCTCTGGCATTCCAAGACATCGGAAAGCAATTCAGAGAAATCTTTCCATGTATAATCTTTGTGGATGTTGGGACTTGTTAGATGAGGTTATTGCCCTTGTGTCTGTTCCTCATGATACTTGAACATCCGAAGGGAATGGATTTGGTCACTGCGGGAGCACGATGTTGACACTGACCTCACCGGAGCAGGATTTCAGTGCACTTTAAAACAGAGCTTTCCTGAGTATGCCAAGGTGTAAGATGTTTGCCAGTTGTGGCTGGGATCACTATTTAGATGTCTAGCTCTGCTTTTGGGAAGTATTACTTTACGTTGCTTTACAAGGAGAAATCAGAGCTTCAAGCTCTTCTCCATATTTAACTGTTTCAAGTAGCTTTAATGGGGGTTTGCCTGTTGTGAAGGGGGAAAAAGAACTCGGTACAAATTGAATATTGGTTATCCTCTGCTCCCCATGCATTTATTTAGCAGCTCTTTGTATTTAAAGGAGAAAAGTTGTCTTGCCATACAAGTGCAAATGCATTTTACAAGCATGTTTCATTCTAACACATGTAATGAATCCTTTCCTGCAGTTACACCATCTGATTACCAACCCCCTGGGTTTAAGGAGGGTGAATGCGAGGGGATGATATTTGAAGGGGAGCCCATGTATCTGAACGTGGGTGAAGTGCCAACACCTTTTCACATGCTGAAAGTTAAAGTGACGACTGAAAAACAACGGATGGAAAATGTTGATAAAAGCATCCTGAAGAGTGGGGAGACAAACGTGCCTCTCCAGGTGATCCGAGTGGACAGGGATGATCCAGAAGAGGAGAACCACGACATGAATGTAAGAGCACAAATGCTCTGTGGGGCTTGTTCTGTGTGTTACAGCCTAGAGAGAGGCCACTGATTGAGTCACTGCGTGTCTTGCTCTAACATTAATAAAAACCTCTGGGTTTCCAGATGTATTTAACCAAGATCATGTCTGTGGTACATCTATTGCTTGAGTTTGACTGCTCCAGTTAGAATCTGTCACTGTCAAAGCAGTATTGAACAAGTGCATCTGCAGAGTGCCCATCAGCAGCACCGGTGGTGGTGGTTGTGTCTCTGGGAGACTAGAGAGGGGCCAAGGAGAGTGAGGAGCAGCTTCGTGCTGGGGGTACTGGTGTGTGGAGCTGAGCAAGCAGCACAGGCCACAGTGAAGCCTCCCTGGAGCTGTCCCACACCAGTCCCAAGTGAGCTGCTACAGCCACAGTTTTGGGTGACAATAATGTGCTCTGGGACCCTTCAGTGCAGCTCTATACCTACAGACAGCCACGACTGTAGTACTTTTACAGGTGTTTTTCTTGGCAGTTGAATTAAATGTGTGTTTCATTACTAATGAGTTAATGCTGAGCTGCTCTGCACATTCCACATCAGAGTAAATCACTTCAATGCAGTTTGTTCCACTGAGAATCCATGGAAAGCTCTGGCTTAGTGCAAACCCTCTTCCTGCAGTAAATGATAGTCCTTTTTCTTCATCTAGGAAAATCCCAGCCTGGCTGACAAAGGGGAAGACAGGAATAATGTGAAGATTTCAGAAGCTCAAGGTAACATTCCCATGTGTTTGTTGGCTCTCCTCAGGTGGTGCCCTGTTTCCTGCAGCTGCAGGCAGTGACAAGGGCACTGTGGCTCCAGGAGCCGGTGCTGCTGGGGGGCTCAGAGGCAGCACAGGCTGTGCCACAGCGGTCCCCCAGGGACACTTCCCTGTTCTGCCGTGCAGAATGGGCTCGTGAGGCGTTTGGGGTTTAAATCCTGGAAGCAATTCCCATCAGAGACCGGCCTTTAACTGTCCAGTGTATAAAGGAGATTGGGGATCAAGGCCACTTTTCCAAAGAAAGGCAAAGGTGGCAAACACCGGGCTGAGGGGCTGTGAGTGTGTTGTCAACGCTGTGCTTATGCAACTCTTCCACAGAACGACACTTAACTGGTGAGGAAGATGGAGTTACAAAGGCTGGAGGGAACCAGAATCTGTGTGTTTCTAATCCTCAGGTAGGAAAACTCCATCCTGTCTTGTTAAACTTCTACTCGAGCTTTTGTAAAGCTTCTTTCCTACTCGGAGTAATTAATAGGGAAGCTGCTAAAGGTTAATTTACAACAGTATTTTCAGCAGGAAAATGCCTTTACGTTTCACTTGCTGGTGTTTCACAAAACCTGCTCACTTTCTAAAGCAATGAAAGCAGTACCAAAGGCTGTTGCTCTGTGAGACAGCTTTTCACACCAAACAGATGGTCTGGCTGTTGGTAGGAGAACTGGGAATGCAACTCTCGTGTTTCTAAACTGCAGTGACTAAACACTCAGCCCAACAGAAATGGCTCTGCTGGTTCTGCCAGACCCAAACACGTTGGAAGGCTGGTAAAAAGCAGGTTTCTGCCTCAGGCTCTAGCCCTGCATGTAGCAAAGGGGTTTAATTTAAAGGTGGAGGGTGGCTTCCACCACAGGTCCTTGAGAGGTCTTAAAAAAGCATCGCCCCAGGTAACTGTGAGTGAGTTGGGGATCAGAATAGCTGCCGTTTTCTCTGACAGGGCTCTTTGACACCTTCAGCTGTAAATAGCGTTGGTGTCTTCAGTGGGTATGATTGAGGATTTAAATACCCCTGTGGTTCAATTTCAGCTGAAGCACTGGGGAGCAGAGACAGCTCTGTGCCTGCTACAGCACGGAACCTGCTGCAGCCTCTAAGGTATAGATAGATTTACCCCTGTCTCATCTCTTTTCTGATTTTAGGTGGATCATTTGGCAAGTAAAACATCTCAACTTAATGTGTCAGAGAGCAGGACAAGGAGTGGGAAGATATTCCAGACCAGCACTGTTAGTACTGTTCTGTTGCTGTTCTTTCAACCTTTCTCTGTTCCAAAGGGTGAATAAACCTCTTAAGCTTCAATACATTTCGCACCGACAGGGTGGAATTCTCATCACTTCTGCAACTCCCATGAAATTCAACACATTTGGATTCTTAGGATCCAAAAATAAATCATCTGTTCCAGAGCTAAAAGCTGAGTGTTGCTGCAGTTAACACAGGCTGAGAAAGATGTGTTAGGACTGATGAGATCTTCCTGGGGCTGCGTTTGTTCGCTGATGTGAAGGAAAAGCCCCATCATTCTCTATGTTTACTGTCTGTCTTGTAAAAACCAAGGGGTTTTAATGAACTTAATACTAGAATTTAACCAAAGCCTTAAATAAGCCAAAGCACAGCAGAGCTAAAGGCTGAACTGCCACCTTTTCACACCTATGCAAGCCCAGTAACTGGCTAAAACTCGGGCAGGCAGCTCAGGGTGGTGCTGAGCACCCTCCTGCTGGTGCAGGGTGCTCCTGCTGCCTGGTTCTGCCCCATTTGCAGTTGGCTTCTGGCTGCTCGTGGCATCAGGCTTCAGTTGTGTTGCCTCCAGGGAACCACAGAATCCCAGCTCCTGCAGCTCCAACCCTGTGACACGGGGATTGTTCTCCCTTGGCAGGTTCATCACTTTGAGCTCTCGTCCAGTCAAGATGTGCTGCCAAAAAGGAGGAAGATCAGTGAACCCAAGGAGCGGTTCTAGATGCCCATGTCCAGCTGCTCGTTCACGGAGTTCTCCACACCACTTCCATGTTGTTGTTGAATGTGAATGTTCCTATTTAAGTATCTTGCAGGGATCTTTTTGGTTCTGTTTGTAGTCAAAATGGACAGTTTGGAAAAGGAAAAAACCTCCCAAGAAGCCCAGTTGAAGAGATCAGAAGTTATTTTTCATAGGAGGCTGTATCCCATCAGGGAGGACAAGAAGGTGGGTGACTACTGAGAGAACTTGTTGGGGATTTAACTCCTGCTTGTAACCTGTTACCCTCTGATGGTGACTGTGAAAGGTTTATTACCCACAAGGTTTCACCAGGAACTTTGGGCTCTGAGGAACTCCTTGTCCAGAACCTGCCTTGGGGGGCTCAAGCCCCCTCAAGTCCTGGGTTCATTCAAGCTTGGGTTCGGTTTCAGCACTGTTACATGTTCTGCTTTTGCTGCCGGGGCACTTGGGGGGGTTCATTTCTGCCAGACTGAAGGCACCGCACTCCAGTAAGAAGCCTTCTTCGCACCTCCCCTTCCATCTTTCACGCCAGAACTGCTGTCCAGCTGTGCCGAGATCTATTTCTGTGTAGTTACAAAGCATCCGCCTGTGGGTCTGTTAGAAGGGTGCAAGACTCCTTATGCAGCACTCGAAACGCTTCCCTGGGGCAGCCGGACGCGGCACGTTGCCTTCCCTAACAAACAATGTCCTTTTCCCCTTTGCTCGACATGACTTGGAGCTGTCGCTGCGCGGAGCTGCTGCCGCCTTCAGGTGGGAATCGCCGAACGTTTCTGGACGGTTTTTGGCTTTGAAACGCAGAACGTCTTTTTATCATTCCTCAATTAAAACGCTCTTAACGGCTGCGTTGCGCTGGTGCTGCTTTAGCGGGCGGTTGGGCGCGACGGGGC